CACCTTTAAGCCGCCAGCCCTCCCCAAAACACCCCCTTGAAAAGCTCCATGAAACCCTATATAACACCGCATAAACCCCATAAAATCTCTATACTTTTCACAAATATATGAAACCTTTAAAGAACGGTGTAAAACCCTGTAAACAGCCCTACATATAAAAGAAAAAAGAACTTTATAAACTTAATAAGCCCTATTCAGCCCCTGAGGTTGAGGGTTTAGGGTTTGGATTTAGGGTTTAGGGTTTTAGGGTTTAGGGTTTAGGGTTTAGGGCTTAGGGTTTAGGGTTTAGGGTTTAGGGTTTAGGGTTTAGGGTTTAGGGGTAGGGTTTGAGAGGTTTATCCCACTCGCCACTTCGGGGCCTAAGCCTCCTAGTGGCCAGGGCCACCTTGGAATGAAATGGGTTTGACCCTAAACCCTAAACCCTGAACCCTAAACCTAGGCTGCAACTGCATCGTCTGCGCGAGTTCTTCTACATCACGGTACACGATATCGTCTTGGATCTGATTGTCGCGTTAGTGCCGGGCCAGGGACAGCCATAACACGTGGCCGCCCGCGATGTACTCGCCGTTCTTCTTCAAAGCCATCAGGCAATGCTCGGGGCACCAAGTTAAGGCTCCGCAACTGCTTGCTCCTGGCCATCGTCGTGGAACATAAGCGGCTCTGGCCTCGACTGGAACCCGCGCTGCGAAAGCTTGGCACGAACCTGAAGGTTTTAGGACTTGCAACGGTCAAGTTCACTGGATGGCAAGTCTAAGTTCGCATCAAACCGGAGTCGCTTCTCTGAGGCCCCCGAACCCTAAACCCTAGAACTTAACCCCGTAAGCCCTTTAACCCCAAACCCCAGAACTTAACCCCTAACGCCTAAACCCTTTTAACCCCTAAACCCTCCCTAATTACTATACCCAAGAATCCCTACATAACCCCGGAATCCTGGAACCTCTAGCCCCACAAACCCTTGAACCCCCGAACCCCCGAACCCCAACCCCCACACCCTAAACCCTAAACCCTAAACCCTAAACCCCAAACCCCAAACCCTGAACCGCCCGAACCCGAGCCCGGTCCGGCAAACCAGCCTTCAGGAAGACTTGCTCAAGAACCTGACTCTATGTCGGCCGATTCTACTACTATTTCTTTGAAGAACCCACGTTGGGTTTAGGGTTTAGGGTTTAGGGTTTAGGGTTTAGGGTTTAGGGTTTAGGGTTTAGGGTTTAGTGTTTAAGGTTTAGGATTTAGGGGAACACTTGTACTTCTCCAATAACCAAGGGGGAGCAAAGGTTAAGCTTTAATATTCCTACTAAGTAGCGAAACCCAAAAAGCTTCAAGTTCAACTATTGTCAGAGCAAGCCCACAAAAAGAAAATATCATACTCCCCATATTGCCCTTATACGGAAGATCATCTTTTTCATTATTATTACTTTTGTTGGGGGGGGGGGGGGAAGGGGCGGGTTCTTAAGCAAATAGTAGTACAGGGGGGGTTACAAGCGCTTAGGGTAGTTAAGGGAGTTTAGAGTTGAGGGTTTGGGGAGCTTGGGTGGTCAGGGCTTAGGAGAGTTCAGGAAGTTTGGAGAGTTTAGGTTTAGGGTTTAGGGTTTAGGGTTTAGGGTTTAGGGTTTAGGGTTTGGGGTTTAGGGTTTAGGGTTTCGGGAGAGTTTAGGGAGTTTCGGAGCTTTAGGTGAGTTCAGGGATCAGGGCGGTTCGGCAGTTTCGGCTTTAAGGAGGGTAGGTGACACAGTAGCACGGCAAACAATGGAAGGAGACGGAAGGAGTCAAAATCTAATCCCGCCCTCTCCCCTTGCACACAACCGACACAAGCACACCCGCACTCACAAAACCCCGACACTAAGCTCTAAACCCTGCCCTAAAGCCTAAACCCCTCGACCCAAACCCTGAACCCTAAACCCCTAAACCCCTAAACTTCTAAACCTCCAAACCCCCAAAACCCCCAAACCCAAACCCTAGACCCCTACACCCCTAAACCCTCGGAAGCCACCCCCTCCCCCCCCTTGGTAAAGCACAGCAGCCCTGTTTGCCATGGCTTCAGTCATCTCCAAGCAGTGGGTCTTCGACCAAGTGAAATACATGAGGAGGTGCTGCTTGTCGATGCCTCGGGGGCTGATATTGAGGTTGAGGGTTTAGGGTTTAGGGCTTAGGTTTGGTAGGCTTACGAGTCCAGCCCCCTTTTTGCGGCCCTAACCTTTAAACCTCAACCTACAGTCCCAAACTTGGGTCCCAAACTCTAAACTTTAAACCCTAAACCCTAAACCCTAAGCCCTAAACCCTAAACCCTTTCAGGCCCTTTCAAAGCCATGTGAGTTTCAGGAATATGCTAACTCGAGGCGCGCTGTAGTCAAAATTACTTTCCTAGACCAAACCTGCAGCCCTAACATCGCAAACCACAAAACCTAAGCTTACACCACTAAGCCCTAAGACCCCAGCCCTAGACCCACACCCTGAACCCCGCGGTCTAAACCCTAAACCCTAAACCCTAAACCCTAAACCCTAAACCCTAAACCCTAAACCCTAAACCCTAAACCCTAAACCCTAAAACCCTACCCTCAAAATCCTAAACCCAAAACTAAACACACCAAAGCCAACAACACGAAAAAGCGCACGCCTAAACCCAGGACTCGGACATCACTGCAAGCGAAGGTTATAGGGCTCGATGTAGCTTGAACAGAGTTACATAGTGCTGCATGATGCATGTGGTTATATGTGGTTTAGGACCGTATGGATTTACATGGGGTATGTGGTGCAGATGGTACTATATGGGATCGGATTTGCAGGGCTTAGGCTCGGGGATAGATGGCTTAAGCACAACAAAATTTAGGGTTTAGGGTTTAGGGTTTAGGGTTTGGGGTTTGGGGTTTGGGGTTTAGGGTTGCGCAGGGTTGAGGCCGCTTAGGTTTCAGGGCTCAGGCTTACAGGGATGTAAGCTTAGGGTTCGGGGTTTGCAAGAGGCTTAGAGGGTTTAACCTTTGGGTTACAGAATTGGTGCTGGCTTTGGGCTGAGGAGTTAGGGTTTAGGGTTTAGGGTTTAGGGTTTAGGGTTTAGGGTTTAGGGTTTAGGGTTTAGGGTTTAGGGTTTAGGGTTTAGGGGTTTAGGGTTCAGGGTTAGGGTTCAGGGTTTGGGGTTTGGGGTTTGGGGTTTAGGGTGACTTGGGTTGCGGTGCACAAACTCCGAACCATCCCAAGTCTCAGGGTCGAAGTTTTGGCTCTCTAGTGTTAGGGACTAAACAATTAGGGTAGATCATTAAGCTTCAGCCAAGTGGCATAAGAGCGCCTCGAATCGGGACATGGAAAGGTGGGCGGCGGGAGGGAGGGACTTGAAGGAGAGCTCGTGGTGTAAACAGTAATTGAGGGTTTAAGGCTTAAGGTTTAGGCTATTCAGGGTTTAGGGTTTAGGGTTTAGGGTTTAGGGTTTAGGGTTTAGGGTTTGGGGTCTAGGCTTCGTAGGTTTTGGGTTTAGGCTGTCTACGAGGTTTTTGGAACCTTGACAGGTGGACGATTTACGGGTCGGGATTGATGGGGTTTGTAGCCTTCATAGACTCGACCCGCGTTGCCGGTTCGGGGTTTAGGGTCTTAGGGTTTTAGGGTTTAGGGTTTAGGGTTTAGGACCTAAACCCTACCCCCAAACCCTAAACCCTAAACCCTAAACCCTAAACCCTAAATCCTCTAAACCCTAAACCCCTAAACCAAAAACGTCAGCCCTCGAAGGCCCTGGGACAACTAGTCCTGGGTCTCCGACTGAGAGAACCGCCAGGAGTTGGCGGAACACGCCCACGCCAATTGGAGTATTTGGATTCACGCCTCCGGGGGTTGAGAGTTTAGGGCCTTTCTCGGTTTGAGGACCCCTAAACCCTAAACCCTAAACCCTAAACCCTAAACCCTAAACCCTAAACCCTAAACCCTAAACCCTAAACCCTAAACCCTAAACCCTAAACCCTAAACCCTACACACCGAAATCTTGTCTATGGTTGGGGTGCTTCAAGCCAGGGTGCTAGTCCATGCAAGCCGGTGCACCCCCAAGCCAGCTTGCAAGCTGCAAGGACTTGAGCCTAGTTTAGGGTTTAGGGTTTAGGGTTTAGGGTTTAGGGTTTAGGGTTTAGGGTTTAGGGTTTAGGGTTTAGGGTTTAGGGTTTAGGGCTTGGGGTTTGGGGTTTGGGGTTTCGGGTTTAGGGTTTGGGGGAAGAGGTCTATTGGTTTTGGGTTTGGATTTCAGGGTCGTTGGGCTTACGGTGAAGGGGTTTAGGGGTTAACGGTACAGTGAGCTCAGAGTTTCCTGGGCAGCGGCTAGATGAGTTGGGGGATTTTGGCTTGACGAACTCACGTGTTTGTGTTGGTTGCCTGCGGCAGAAACAGAAAAGAAACAACAACAACCTTAAGCCTTAAACCTTAAACCTCGAACCCTAAACCTTAAAACCCTAAACCCTAGAAGACCAAGTCAGCATATAGAGACTAATGAGCTGTCCAAGCCAGGGCACCCCCCCCCCCTCCCCGCTCCCCAAACCACGAAAAGGACCTTCATATCCCCAAGCCAAAACAAAACCCTGACAAAACCTCAAAACCTCAATAACCCCAAGCCCCAAAACCCTATTTCTCCCTAAACCCCAAACCCCAAACCCCAAACCCTAAACCCTAAACCCTAAACCCGAAACCCTAAACCCTAAACCCCAAACCCTAAACCCCAAACCCTTTCGTAAAGCCCCGGAGGTCCGCGAACTTTCTTGGGCATTTGTCTGCGGCCGCGCAGTGTCTGCATGGGTCTCTGGCAGCCCTAGAGGTGCCAGGTAAGAAAAATCGATCTCCAGGTTTAGGGTTTGGGGTTTGGGGTTTGGGGTTTGGGGTTTAGGGTTTAGGGTTTAGGGTTTAGGGTTTAGGGTTTAGGCAAAGGCTGCCAGGGTCTTGAAACCCTAAACCCTTAACCCTTAACCCTAAACCCTCAGCCCTCAGCCTTCATCTCTCAGCTCATCACTTCAGAGGGCGCCGGGGCCCATGAAGCTTCAGCGTCGCCGGGTGCTCTTCCTAGACTATCCTTAGAACCTTAATAAAAATAATATGTTTTTAATACCCTCTTGGGTTTTATATAAACAAAAAATACTATCCTTAGAACCTTAATAAAAATAATATGTTTTTAATATCCTCCTGGGTTTTATATAAACAGGAAAAATTAATTCCCAAGGGGGATATAGCCTCAAGGAGTGGGCCCGGATCATCAGCAAGTTGTGGACAAGCCCGGCAGCGCCCGACAGCAAGATGATGGACCAGGACGTGGCGTTGTTGAACTCCTTAGCAGGTTTCAGGGCTTATGGGGCTTTATAGGGTTATATGAGGTTATATAGGGTTTTATAAGGTGTTCTAGCGTGTTATAGGGTGTTAGAGGGTGCATAGGGCTTACACGGTTTAAAGGGGTATAGGGTTTAGGCTTCGGGTACCCTTCTTTGGGGCTGGCTATTTCACAAGGGAACCCAGAACCAACAACAAAAGGGAAGAGGGTACCACTCTGCTACCAAGACACATAGAGGGGATGATGGCGGAGAAGGTAGTGGAGTCCCACGTGGATGACTGCAAATGCGCAGAAGACAAACCGGGCCGCCTTGCTTCCCTGGCATGCGGCAAAAATCCACCAGCAGAGGGGTATGTGCAGCACCTTTTTTTTCCCCAATAACCAAAGAATAGAAAAGGTTGAACCTCAAAAAACACTACAAAAAACTACAAAACATGACAACAAGCACAAAAAACACAAAAATAAGGAAACCAACAAAAGCTCAAAGATCCTTTACTTTCCTAAGTAAGGCACGATGAAGACGTCACGGGCCGTGTCATCGTCGGGGATCAGGTTCAACAGTGGCAGGATGCGCCACTCATGCCGAAACGTGGCATCCATTTCATGGGTCAGCATCGCAGCCAAGGACAGATGAAAGGCGTCCATTGCGGCTGAGGCAATGGCCCTCACCCTAAACCCTAAACCCTAAACCCCAAACCCTAAACCCTAAACCCCAAACCCTAAACCCCAAAACCCTGCGGTGGGGGATCCTTCTGCTTCTAACATATGGAGAAGTTGCAATGAATTCGTGCCAGATTTGGGCATCTTTCACAGTAGTCTTACCATGTCATGTGGACGTGGTCACTACTATCTTGCTATCACGTATACCGATACGAATTACGTCAGCAGGTTTTTTGGAGTGTGCGAGGCCTTTACACCCGACTTGAAAGTTTGAAAACGGGGCCCCTTACAAGCCCAGATAAGGAAATATTCAAACAACCTGAAACCTGAACCCTAAACCCCCAAACCCTAAACCCGAGAGACTTTAGGGCGTTCTTGCTTGGGGTTGCTGGATGCTTCGAACCGTGGAAGAGCGACAGGAAGGTCCGAGGTCCGAGGCACGCAGCGCAGACCCTGAGCCCCCCCTAAACCTTGGATTTCCCTTAGCACCATGAGGGTGGGTAGACCAAGCCGGTTAAACCCTCAACCCCCCCCCCCCCCCCCCCCCCAAAAAAAAAAAGACCCTAAAACCTAAACCCTAAACCCTAAACCCTAAACCCTAAAGACCTTCCACACTTCAGGCCCGAAGGGGACGGGGTTTAGGGCTTCTGGTGTGTTAAACGGAAGCGCTCTTCGAGTGCGCATTTAGTCTGCAGGCCTAGCCACCCGGAGACTGCCCACTTACAACTCTCTGATGAAGTCAAGGTCTTCTGTATGTTTCTACAAGGCAGCATGTACTCATTTTGACGAACCTGATATGCAACTCTTCATTGAAGCCACCTATGAGTTGCGTCACACGGGTCACACTTGAAACGTAACCCTAAACCCTAAACCCTAAACCCTAAACCCTAAACCCTAAACCCTAAACCCTAAAACTTGGACCACTCGGTCACTTGCGACACTTAGGTCCCTTGGGTCACGTGGGAGACGTGGCACACTTCGATTCCTTCAGGGATATCTTAGAAAATCATGGGGCTTGGGGCCAATCAGTAAATACTTAGACCCCAAAAGGAACTGGTTTAGGGTTTATAAGGTTTAGGTATAGGATCTGGCCTAAGGAAACTAAACCTTACACCTTGAACCCTAAACTCTAAACTAATTTTCGTGCCACAATCTTCTCCACAGCTTTATACTGTGGGCCCTTCAGGACGCTAAACAATCCGAGCTCCTTCAGCAATCAGGTGACCTTGCAAAACACCCTTTTGCCCTGGACGTTCATTTCAGTAAGCCCTAAGCCCGAAACCCTAAACCCGAAAAAACCTAAACCCTAAGCCCTAAACCCTACACCCCAAAACACTGAACCCTATAAACCTTCCCCACACACCCCACCCTACACCCGAAACCCTAAACCCAAAGTTTCAGCCTAGGCCGTGGAGGAGACTCAGCAGGTCCCCGGAGAAGCTGCGCTTGAGGACCTGCACGTGCACAGGGTTTAGGGTTTAGGGTTTGGGGTTTAGGGTTTAGGATTTAGGGTTCTGCTGAAGAATCATGCAGTCAGGCGCCCTAACCACCCTCAAAATCCTAAGAACCCTAAAGCCCCTGAAAACCCTAAAACACTAAACGCTAAAAACTTTGACAACCCTAAAAGGTCCTAAAACCCACAAAGCCCTCAATCCTCAAACCTCAACCCTAACCCTAAACCGTATACCCTATACCAAACCCAACAATTCTAGGATCTTCAAGTTTGGGAGCGCTCCTTAAATTTAGGGGGTTTAGGGTTTAGGGTTTAGGGTTTAGGGTTTAGGGTTTAGGGAAAGCCAAATGCTTCCTAAGTCATGCCTGGCAACTTGCTGCTGGCTTAGCAGGACTGAAGACATGGTGAGACCCACTCCCTTCCTTCCCTAGTAGCCCTAAACCCTAAACCCTAAACCCTAAACCCTAAACCCTAAACCCTAAACCCTAAACCCTAAACCCTAAACCCTCACAATGATAAACACTCAACAATCGCAGTGGCGACTGCTAGTCTTACAAGACTTAAGCTTAAAGACAACACGGTAGGAACAGCAGTCCCCGGTTTAGGGATGCGGTTTTCAGGATTAAACCCTGAACCCGAACCCCTGAACCCTGAACCCTGAACCCTGAACCCTAAACCCTAAACCCTAAACCCTAAACCCTAAACCCTAAACCCTAAACCCTAAACCCTAAACCCTAAACTAAGCGCCCATGCCTTCTGGTTGAGGCGCTTTCGCCACTTCGACGAGCTGATCAGTTGCCTTCGACTTTAACGGGTAAGGCTTCGAGGGTCGGGTCTTGGGTAGACTTGTTTAGGGTTTAGGCTGCAATTTAGGCTTTAGGGCTTATGGGCAACGCCCGCCCAAACCAAGAAGCCGACCAAGCCCCCCCCCCTCCCCCCCCCGACCCCCCCACCCGACCCGGCAAAAACACACGTACACACACACACACAATCTGCAAAGCCCTGAACCACGGCCCCAAACAAATAGCCAGAGAGAGAAAGAGACAGAGAGAGAGAGAGAGAGAGAGAGAGAGCGAGGGAGAGAAAAAGCCCAGAACCGTTTAATTCACAAGGAAGAACCCCCGCCCTCCCGAAGCATCAGCAAGCTTTAGGGTCTCAGTTCCAGAATCCTACTCCTCATAGGTTGAGCGCGACGACCCCCCATCCCTTAAACCCACAACCCTAAACCCTAAACCCTAAACCCACAACCCTAAACCCTAAAAACTAAAAACCCTAAACCCTAAACCCTAAACCCCAAACCCCAAACCCTAAACCCTAAACCCTAAACCCTAAACCCACAACCCGAAACCCGAAACCCTAAACCCTAAACCCTAAACCCTATAAGCCCTTAAAAGCAAGAAGCTTCAGGATGGGAGCCAAGGCACCGTACTGGTCCCTCGTAGAAACTGCTTCCCCAAACAGGTCGATTGGGTTTAGGGTTTAGGGTTTAGGGTTTAGGGTTTAGGGTTTAGGGTTTAGGGTTTAGGGTTTAGGGTTTAGGGTTTAGGGTTTAGGGTTTGGGGTTTGGGGTTTGGGGTTTAGGGTTTAGGGTTTGGGACTTGGGGTTTGGGGTTTGGGACTTGGGGTTTAGGGCATATTACTTCGTTGTTCCATACAACTTAGATTCTGGAGGGGGCTGGGGGTGGGGTACCGATTTGAGCTCTGCTGTCCGGGTGGCATCAGGTCATCTTCCTTAGCATCCGCAACCACTTTGGGTTTCGGGTCCAGGGCTTTAGGGCGGTAGGGCTTTTTCACGTTTAGGCGAGTAGTGTGTCAGGGTCCTCAGTGTATGCGCCGGAGTGCTTCGAGTTCGAAAACTTTCAACCCAACATTCAAGAAACCCAGATGAGGGCTTAGCTGCCCTAGAGCCTCCACTTTGTAAACCCAAGCTTAAACCGCTGAAACCTCTACTCCAAACCCTCATGCAGAGTTTTTGGGTTGTCGGGTTTCGGGCGTTTAGGGTGTAGGGCTTGGGGTTCAGGGTTTAATTCGGGTTTTGTTAGGGTCTAAGGGTTTAAGGGGCTAGGACTACTTGGGGGCTTCCGGGTTGAAAAGGTTTGCGGCACGTTCTTAGATATCCGAAGCTGGAGGTCCAAACCTTAAGAGACCCCAAGCCAAGGGAGTATTAGTTAGGGAACCCCATATATGAAAAAAAATCTCACAAGCTCTTTCAAAGCATCGGAGGTCTCGCGGTTTTCGCGCAGGTACTCCAAAAGGAGCACGAACTCCATCGGTGAAACCTCAGGGCCGGCAGCTTGAGACATGAGAGTTACACATATTACATGTGTTGGCGTGTGAGCATGATACACGTACTTCATTCATCAAACAAGTCCCTCTCTCCCTCTCTCTCTCTCACTATGACGCATATTTTGTTTTTACATGCTGACCACCCACCCCTCCCCCCCCCCCCCCCCCCTAAACCCTAAACCCTAACCCTAAACCCTAAACCCTGAACCCCCTAAACCCTAAACCCTAAACCCTAAACCCTAAACCCTAACCCCCCCCCCCCCCCCCCCCCCCCCCCCAAAAAAAAAAAAAGTTTCGGTGCCATTCGATGCCCTTGGTTTCTCGGATTTTTTCGAGCCGGCTCGAGATTGGTAGCCCTGTCTTTTTTCGAGCCCGCGCGCGCGAAAGAAGCCAAAATGTATTGAACTTCCGACAACTTCTGTCCGCATACTGATAACGAGGTTGGTTCTGGGACGGGGGGGGGGCGGGGGAATGCCAGTCAAATTCTTTATTTATAACATGAGGACTACGACTGCGCAAATATGTAGAATAAATAACGTGCAAAACTATATTTAGAATATACAGGAACTGCTTAAGCACTCGTCCCATGTTTGATCGCTTAGTGGCTTGGCCAACCTCCCCCTCCCCCCCCGCCCCCCCCAGGCCCCAAGGCCACAAAGTGCACTAAACTCTCACCTAGAAACCCGAAACAATAAACCCCTACCCCTAGAGCCTAAACCCCTACCCCCTAAACCCTAAATCTAGAAAAGGCCCTGTAATCCCAAAACGCCACAGCCCCGAAAGTCCCCTGCACACCACGGAACATCCCGGGGCGTCCCGTCACTGAGCACGTTCTGTGGTACCTCAACACACTAAACGCCGCAGCCCAAAAAGGTGACCCTAAACCGTAAACCTAAACCCTAAACCCGAACTAAACTTTATACCCGTAACCCTACAGCCTAAACCCTACATGTTCAAAACCCTTGATTCGATGCTGGGGGTTTAGAGTTTCCGGTTTGAGGGCCATTGCTTACCCTTCCCATTTACCCAGACCCCTGGGAGGATCCGAAAAGTAGATGCCCTGAAGGGTTCTTAAGCATGACCGCATAGTAGTATTGGGGGGTTCCCACAATAAAGTCTACAGCGTATTGACAGAGTAAATTAAAGCTTGGAATTTAGGGCTAGGGTTTAGGGAGCCTGGGGGCGAGGGTGCAGGATTCGAGCTTAGACCCTGAACCCTGAACCCTGGACCCTGAACCCTGAACCC